ATCGTTATTTTTTTAAACTGCAGTAACCAAAACTGGACATATTTTAACTTTAACCTTCAGAATATCATGTAGAAGAGGTTATTTTAGACATTTTACACTGCTGTCAACGCATCCCGGCGTAAGGTCTATTTTTGTTGTAAGTAATATGACGCTGTTGATGCACGAAGTTTGCAATCTGGTAGAACAGTCAGGTACCCTTCATTGCAGGACTTCTGCCCAGCCAGCCGTTCTGTACTCCTGCGGTAAATCATTTCTAACCGAGGGTGAAATTCACTCTTAGCTGGATGTCTACTAAAGGACACCTTCTCAAAGGCTGGACATCCAATCTAATCTAAACTAGCCTGTACAAAATGCCTCTGAACTCAGTGAAGAGTGACAATGCATCTCATCCCATGCTAAGACAGATGTTTGTGAGATGAACTGCCCTCAAGAGAGACAACTCCTCACAATTTAGCAAGGTAAATTGGGTAGTTAAAGTACTGGTTTATAGTTAAGTTAAATGATGGCTGTCCGATTTTCAGACAGCTATTCAAAGTAAAATACGCCTGACAATGCACCGTGCGCTTTCCTCATTGATCTGGGCCCTGTTCCTCACAAACCAGAGAAAGAGCAGGAATCATTTTATACTTTTATCACCCAATATACTTGTGTCCCCTCCCAGCTTAATGCCTTTGGCTATGCTTGCTAAGATAATTCAGCCTTCTTAACCAAAAGCACTGCACAGCGCCGGTCCCAGGAGAGTGCCCTTCCAAAGAGAACCCCCCTTGTTGGAGCCTCTCATTTTGAAGCGAAGTATTAATTCCTTACTCTGAATACAGGATTAAAACCAGTTTGTTATGTAGAAGACATTTCTCCTGCTTTCTTATTAGAATGACACTGTCCCATATGAGAAAAGCCTTACTAAAAAAAGTCAAAGCAAATGCTTGCTGTAGGAACTTTTTTCTTCGTAAATAACTTATGGGGCCAAGCACTAAGGCTGGTCCGAACAGTCTGAGAACAAATTTAAGAACAAATACTCATACATGTAACACACACACACCCCTGCTCCCGTAATTTTGACAACAGTCATTTTAATGATGTACAGAAATCCATTTTAAAGCCAGATAAATTTAATTTATTTTTCACAAGATAAAAGCAAATGCTAAAAAATACTGCTACCTGGCACGCTCAAATAGAAACCCTCCTTGTCAGTGGTATGGGAGCTGTGGAAAGCACTGCCAAGGCACTGCAAAACAGTTCAAACATCAGTCAAGCAAGAATTCCGGGAAAAGAGAAGGGAAAACTATGGCATGGCAAGGGACATTGCAGCATCCAAAGCTTACAACATGTGAGAAACAACCTCAGCTAAATCCTGTTCCTAGAAAGCAATCCACAAAGCTTTGATAACAAAGGTAGCTCACTTGCATGGTCCTCCCTGTGCTGACTATGCTGTCCTGGGGTTTAACTGCTTTCATACCCATGTCCTCTCCTCCCCGCTCTCAGACAACTGTATAGATTTTTGATAATACTCAGTCTTTGCAAAAGAACAGAGTAGGTCCTCTTCAGTAACCAAAAAGCAAAACTAGAAGTGCATTTTGTAAATCTTCAGCTTCAGTAAAACTTCCTTTTAAGAGTTAGCCATTTTAAATTTCCATCACTGTCACACACATGCTAATGGAAAGCTGCTCTCCAAGCACTGTTTTTAGATATTATACAACAGAACTCCTAATTTCTGAGTGCAAAGTACTATATGCTGGGCATTTAGGGTTTTGAAATACTGATATTCTGAGGTTCATTTCGTCGCCAGACCTGAAAATGCCATGCTCAACACCTAAAGCTGCACCTAAACCTGGAGATCTGATTTCTGCTCTAAGATGCAATTTATTGCTTGAGTTTAGCATATATGTTATTGACTAATTTTGTTAGTGATCTACAAATGCCAATTATATTTACATTTATATTTTCTTCTTACCCATATATGTACAAATCTTTGTAGACATAATTCTGTGGGATTTGAACAAAGGAAAGGAACTGACTGTTGTTTGCAGCTGATGTGCAGGTGAACAGCTTTGTTTCCACAGCTCTCTATTCCTTACCTGATCTCTATTCCTTACCTCAGAGGGATTTTATGTCACACTATTGCTGCAGAGCCCTCTGCCACCTCCGTCAACCATTCTCAAGCCCTGCTGCCTAGGTTGCTGAGAATGTAAAGATGTCCTCCAAATGCAAATGTCTACTCTCTAGATTTGGTTTTAGAGTGGTGCAAAACCCTGCTTAGGTTTCCTAAACTAAGATGAACTTCAAACAGATCAAAAAGGTTTTAAATAGAGCAAGATTATTATTTTTAATATTTTAACCTGAAATTCACCAAGTATCTTCCCTCTTCTCAACCCAAAGCTAACAATTATTGACTCAAAGTAACTAGATACATATCTAGCACATCTCAGTAATGTACTGGACATTAGAACATTGCTTTGTCTACCAAGTGCAAGGACACAGATTTGGATATTATGTAGAGAAGAGGTTTGGGGGTCCCTTGCCAGATTTCTTGACTACTCTTCATGAAACACTGACGGGAGGTCAACATCTGTTCTAATCAAAGCTCTTCAACATCATAGTGCACAAGAGAAAATCTTCGTGCATGGGAACTTTATGTTGCTTGAATCACACCAGAAAAATGTGTAAAAATAAAAACCCCAAACAAACACCCTCCTGCCCCACAGAACACTCACCCACTACCACCACCCTTACTACTTCAAACAAGTCAAGCATATCCCCATTTAATTTTTTATGAAGGTAATGGCAAAAACTTGAGCTGAAGACAAGCAGCTAGATCATCTCATCTGTCCTTGGGCTGACAAAGGAATGACGAAAGAGTCTATATTGTAGTATTTAGTTTAGTCTAAATATATTAATGAATTGGATTCACCAGAACAGTGCAGACTATACACAAATTTATTTATCTTTATCTTTTAGCACTGTACTCTCGAAATATATGTGTAGATTTTTGTTACATCTCCTACAGACCAGCACTTCAATTTACGTTAAATTGAAGACCATCGTTCTGAATAGTCCTTCTGGATTTGACCAGCCTTCAATGCTCAGCATTTATTCCATAGTAGGAAAACCACAATGGAGCAGGAGTGTTGATGCAATAAAATCTTAGTGGATGTTTCAGTTTGTACACGTGAGTTGTCAGAACCATAATGCAGTAATAGAATATGCTCACAGTCATCTGTGTAATCTAAGGATACAGGCACATAAAGCTTAACACTGAGATTTCTACTAGTAGAGTATGAGCTGCACTAAGCAAAAGCTTTTACGTTCTAAAAATAAAGTTAATTTGATTAGCACGTCATGGAAACAAAGTTGCAAATGACTAAGCTAATTTGCTATTCCTATCTTAGACACCTGGTACCTAATACTGAAGTAACTATATGTACTCAAGTTATATGCAGAGCAATAGACTAAGCTATTGCTATTCCTATCTTAGACACCTGGTACCTAATACTGAAGTAACTATATGTACTCAAGTTATATGCAGAGAGCTAGACCAAAGAACTATTAAAAAAACCCCATGAAACCAATGAGGGTTTGAAAAAAAACCCTCATTGAAAAATGAAAAAACAATCAATAATTGATCTGGTTTAATTAAATACTGTTCTACTTGCTAAAACATTGTCCTTCATCAGATGCAAACCCCAGCATTCTGCCAACTGCTAACCCTTCCGAAGAGGGAGGTACACTTTCTCCATTTCTAATATACAAATTGTGTTAAGAAAATAATTTGCATGAAGCTATAAACCTGAAATGGATAATTTCACTAGTGCTTTTTTTTTTAATAGATAAGAAGTGATGTCTAACTTTACTTCCAAACTTATTCTCTCAGCTATTTTTTTCTACTGAAACTATTAGCCAACTAACTGGGAGGAAACAATTTAAGAGAAAATGAAGCCTTTTTAAGGAAACAGAAAACAAATCTTTTATGTTTTAAGAGCAAAAACCAAACATGAGCAAGTATTTCACCCCATCTTCCCTGCCCAGTATTAACAAAAAGCTTCACTGTATTTTATGCTAAAAATGTACCTTTCTTAGGGCTGTTTGAATGGTTTTTTGCTTGAGCTCAGAAGAGAAATCGTTCGGTTTATGTACATAACTTACTCTTAAAGAGTTTCATTATTTTGGGATGCTTAAGTAGGACCTTGGAACTCCAGAGCTTACCTCTAAACCACTGCAAGGAACAAGAGGAGAAAACACTGCATGAAGGAGCAATAGACAGTGGTGGTCTTTGTAGGAGAGCACTTCTAGGCACAGAAGCCTATTAGTACTTCCCTCGTGAGGAAGAAATATTCTTCTACAAGACCTTTATTTGACAATGTGGGGCTCTGGCAGCAATAACCACCGAAGAAGAAAACTGGTCCTGCTTACACTGTGCTCTGGCAAAAAAATTAAAGCTGGACTTGTCTCCTGAGTCAGCTCACAGCACAACGCTGCATACTGCTTATTCAGCAACACCACAGGCTGATACTGTCACCCAAGTTCCCCTGTCCTCAAACCTTGTCCTCAATAGTCAGAAGGTTTGATAACAGATCTACTACAAAAAAACTTAAGGTTGCTCAATTATGCTGTATTATGCAGATCTCATTCACTAACCTTCCACAGAATCTACGGGGTTGGCTTTAGTACGTCTGTTCTTACTGACGTACATGAAATGCAGGGCAGAAAAAAAAAATCCAACCTGGCTAACTTGTCACACATTTATTATTCAATCTTCGGTGATTTCACTGACAGAGAAGCCTGATAACTCTCTTTCTAGACTTGATGGGAGAAGGGCAATGTTTCTTTGCAGTCACACAGCCTGCACAGTTATTTAGATTTTGTCAGACAGATTTTGGACGGTTTTGAACAGAAACAGAAAAAAAGTTACTCCCAGTTAGTGCACTGAAAGAACCTGGCTCAGCCCACCCAAGGTAGTATTTGGAAAGTTCTGTTATCTAGAAAGCATATAAAAATAAACTTGCCTTCCACAAAGATCCTGTTCCAGTAGATTTTTCCAACGTGATTTCCTCCAAGAAATACTAGATTTGATAAAATCAACATTGAAGTGCTAACAGATGCTAGAACAGCATGAAGTCGACGACGAATTCTTGGTGAGAAGAAACGCTCCTGAGGGGCAAAACAAAAGGTACAGATGAAGTTAACAACACCTACAATTTTTCAAGCAACATTAGAAAAAGACGTTGTAGTTACAACAAACAGCTTTTATACAGAAGTTCAAATCCTTATGGAACAGAACCCAAAGCTTTTAAAATATCTAGCAGAACTCCCACCAATGCCTCTGAAGTTTGGGTAAGACCTCACGATAGAAAGCAGTGCTGAATCGTAATTGAAGTTGGAGGGGACCTCTAGAGGTTACCTAGAAAGGTCATCAAAGCAGGGTCAGCTAGAGCAGGCTGCTCAGGACTGTGTCCAGTCAGGTTTTGAATATCTCCAACGATGAAGACTGCACAACCTCACCGGGCAACCGGTGTTGTCTGAGTACCCTCACAGTAAAAAAGATTTTCTTACATTTAAATGGAATTTCTTATATTTCAGTTTGTGCCCATTGCCTTTTGTCCTGTCACTAAATACCACTGAGAAGAGTCTGGCTTTGTCTTCTTTCCCCCTACAATTAGGTATTTATATGCATGGATAAGATCCCCCCTGAGCCTTCTCTCCTCCAGGCTGAACAGGCCCAGCTCTCTCAGCCTCTCCTCTTATGGCAGATGCTCCAGTCCCTTCATCATCTTTGTGGCCCTTTGCTGGACTCACTCCAGCATGTCCATGTCTGTCTTGTAGTGGGGAGCCCAGAACTGGACACAGTTCTATACATTCTATGTCTTAATTCTTTTCTTATTAAATGTACTCCTTTATGAATTTTTGCCGATGGACGTAAACAGTAACAACATGCTTCTGGGGTGGATAATACTATCCAATAGGTTCCAATATGGAGTAAAGCACTTCAGTACAAAACAAACAGCATCAAACAACTTCAGAAGTCATTAATGCTTTGGTTGATTAATAAGACTTCACTGAAAGATTTCAGAGTCAGATCAGAACTGGTCATCGCAATGAGTCTTAATAAACAGATACTTCCATACGAAAAAAAGATTTAAACACACATGCAATCCCAATTTTTTTTTTCAGTGCAAATATTACTGCTCATGTTTGAGAAGCGTAAATATCTGTTGTAAAGTTTTTGGTACTGTTGTTCTAATGATACAAATAAAGCACGTCTCTCTCCACCATATACTAGTTTACATTTTTCTGAATCTATATTTTGCATTATCACCTGAAGTGTGAGTGCAGCACAGAGACTGCAAGAAGATGGTGAAAGAAGGATGAGAAAGTTTTAGCTTCCTCCAACATTCAGTTGTTAGAACAAATTTTAAAAAGCATTACAGCACATCACAAGGAAATATTGTCTCATTACTGCATAAGGAAAAATATCTTGTTCATCATGGCCCCAGGCTGCAAGCCTCTTTACATAGTGCCTGAATCTGCAAAAGACTGAATGCTTTGTGTGAAGGGATAACCATTTGCCAGGGCATGGGAACTAAGGAAAATATCAGGAGCTGTTCAGCCTTCACGTCATAAACATTGATGTTGCAGAAAACAAAAGTCTTGTGACTGCAGCATCAAAAAAAAAGAGCAGTAATTAATCTTTAATAGCTGCATCCAGACCAGAATTCATGCTCAGATACCCGAAACAACATAAACACATGCTCAAAACAGACCTAAAAATACATTCCTAGACAATTAAATTGCTAGTTTTGTAAGCATCGAAACAAATGTTTCAACTGCTAGATTATAAAGTGACAAAACTTCAAATAAATGACAGTTACAAGCATAAAAATACAATTTTAACTTATTATTGCAAAGTAGATCTCTGGTAAATTGAATGTTAGTCCCAGTCAGAACTATATCTAGTGTATGAGTCAGTCTGAGTCAGCACAAAAATGAGGATAGATAAGCTTCAAGGAAAAATACTCTGTATCAGGCCGTATGTGCAATACAGCAATAGTCAATCTTCCATACAATGCTATGAAAAACATTCATTTATGAAAACAGAGACTGAGATTTTTCTCTGAAAATTCTGGATGAAAACTAGGGCATGAAAGGAGAAGGGTAGAGAATATAAGATAATTATATAAATATTCACAGACACCGACAGTTACTCAGTGAAACAACTTTTTCCCTTCCTAGTACTTTGCATCTCCAAAGCTGCCCAAGGACTTCCACAACATTCTCCTTCAGTTCACACACAGGTAGAAGATAACTTAAGTTTGTCTCCTCCTGAAATGCACAGTATGAATGCATGGTCCCATATATGAAAAATTTATGCCTTTTCAGAATGCGTAAGTGTATGCACACAGAGAAATTGTTCGAAATCTTGCTATTAAATTCACGTTAACAACCAAGTTTAAATAAGGAGCAGTTATGATCATGCTAGCTTGAACTTTTGTGTTAAGAGTCAAACACCCTCTTTTTACACCATGCTAATTAATTCTGATTGAGCTGTAGCTTATCTATAGAGCATAGTCTACCATCAGATTTACCTTTCACTCTCCCTTTGTCTATCAAACTTATTCGTCAACTCTACAAAGAAACAGTTTTAATTATGAAATTATTATGCTATTTAATGCTTTTAACAATATGTTCCATTGCAACAATACAAGCAGCTGCTATGAATTTGTGATGTTTCTCTGGGTTTTGGTGCTGTCTCTTTCTCTATCCTCTTTTCCTGTCAGAAATACAGCCAGAAGATAAGAGTGGCAAAAGAGCACCTAGTGTTAAAATGACAACGAAGCTGTGGCTGCCTGGCTGAAACCCTTGTAGTGCATCCTTCCTCAATGCTCCATCTTACTGTAATCTCGCATCAATACTTCATCATACTTTACTTTTAGTAATCACGCCCACCTCCCCACACACTGAAATAAATGGACTGTAGCATTTAAACTACACAAAAAAATAGATATATTGTCAAGATACTCAGTCCAAGGGCATGCGGCATGACATAGGAGGTGACTTACAAAGGTTGGCTCAGGCCACCTTTCCTAGAACTGAATGGAGTTTGGGTTATTATTCCAATCCAATTCCTGCTGTAAACGAAGATCAGCCTCACACATTTTTGCCAGATGTTGGGAAAAATCTCTCTGCACATTGTTCGGTCAAGCGAAATTGGCTACCATCAGATCTCTCTCAACTGGGCCTTCTCAGTCATCTTAGAAAAATAAATGATACTATCACGTAGTGAGGTACCTTGAAAAGTAAATCTGTGTATGTGTTTGAGAGGGGTGGAAAAAGACAGGTGTGAAAAGGATTTGCACAGTCCAAACACTCCCATTCCTAAATCCATTTCCAGTTACACATGCATGTCACATTTAACCTCTAAGTGAAAACAAGCCAGAAATAGGAAGACTGTTTAATGGCTGGTTCTTGAGAAAGATAGCTTTTGAAGGACAACACACACGAGAATAGATCATTTAGGTGAGAATTAAGAGTCAGGTTAAAAGACATGGTGGAATTTTGAAGTCAGAGAGGATGTGAGAGAAAACACTAATTTCATTTGCTTTGCAAGGTAATTACACCACTATGAGCATGAAACAAAACAAACATGGCAGGAGAAGTGGCTTCAGAGAGCACAGCATCATTTAAAAGAACTTCTCTCTAAAGTGAGTTAGAGCTAATCAACAATATGCAAGCATTTTCACTGATCTACAGGACTGTGTACGACGATATTACTGAATGGCATGGAGAGATGAAATTGAGGGTCCAGGAGTGTTTTTCATAAATGCATTTACATCTCCTAGCTAGCCAACTACAAAGAGAATACTTTGGGGAATACTGACCAGAATACGTCATCTACCCTCCCATGTGGAAGTTGAGGAGACACCTGTCCTGGTTTCGGCAGGAATAGAGTTAATTTCCTTCCTAGTAGCTGGTACACTGCTGTGTTTTGGATTTAGGATGAGAACAAAGTTGATAAGGCACCGATGGTTTAGTTGTTGCTAAGCAGTGCTTACACTAGCCAAGGACTTTTTAGTTT